GTTTGTTTATAAACCGAGTAGTATGTTGGAGTCCCAGAGTGAATATCAACTCTGAGATGTAAGTATGTACAGCTGACTGGTCCTAAATAAGACAAAACGCTTGTCGTGGATTCCACTGCTTGACACTATCCATCTGTGTTTATAATGTCTGTGACCTAAGGCAATATTGATGCATTCCGCACAAGATGCATAATTACATTTCTAAATAACAATGAGAAAAGATTCTGAATGTAGACTAATGAGGGGTTCCATACTAGAACGAATCAGCCGTTTAGTGCTTCAAGGTTCTCAATGGTGGTCCAGCTTACATTGATTCTTGAATTCAACTATTGAAATTAATATAATCTCCACAAGCCTCTACTCTATTCATATTATTCTGCTATGATCATGAATCTTATTTCATTCAAATGAATCAGCCTTGTTTAGAGTAAATGTTGATTAATCTAACAATATTCATAAACCAATAACTTGGTGCTATTTCTCCATGACCTATAGAAAATTTGGTTTGACTGGACGGTCATTTCATCTCAGTATAGGACTCTTCAGCAATGCGAATCCACGATCTCACTCGTGAGATTCAAACCTAAAACCTATAGGTTTCATGCTCGAGAGCTTGACTCTAGGCTACTGAACCGGCTGGCAGTCAACTGCGTTAACGTCCAATCCCTTAATCATTTTGTGTTATTCTTACAATCTGAATCAGATTACTTTAGTGTCGCATAAATATCTTTGTGATGTTTGATTCGAGTTTATTTTATGTCACAACATTTGAAATTAGTTTGAAACAAAGTTGAAAACGAAAAATTCATGAAGCGAATTTGCATTTTTACATTGAATTTGTCATATTTTATTTAAACTCCTTATGACTCATGTTGTGGTGTTTGCTACTGATGTCGACAGATATAAGTAGTATGTTTCATCAATCGAAAGTAACAATGTCTTGCTGATTGTACTGATTTAGTGGTATCCTCAGCAGTGCTCATCCACGAGTCATACCATTGAAATTACTTAAATATCCACAAAAGCCCTTCTGATATGAATCAATATATGCTCACTGTTGACTGGCTTCAAGTGGTATTTCTTGGAGATCTAGTAAGATGCAGTAATCAGTAAAGTTCAACTCGTCTGTTGTGACTCACCGAAATCAGCCACCTGAGCTACAGTTCCTCTCTACTTTCTCGACATTGACAGTGTCAGATGTTGGTTGGCTCAGAGGTCAAGTGGTTTAGCGCTCGTGCATGAGACTGGTAGGTTTAGGGTGAGACTTGAATTGTGTTTATGGAGTCTTGTAGGTGAGATAATGATACATAGAACGTGATTACTTGTTTAAAATACTAATACTGATGACGACGATTGAACACAATCAGACATCCGATAACCGTGAGAAGTATCAACGCGTCGAATGTAAGTGTATCGAGATTAGTGATGACAGTTCCGCAGATACACAAACATGAGAATACTGTTGGATTACAATAACTATGACTATATGAAATAAGATAGTAAACATTTTCTGTAATTATTGATGTCTGGTGCCAAATATTTCCTGAGAGGTTGATAGACTACTTGTTATCTACTCATTTTCTCGTTAGAAAATAATAAGAATTTTATTCATCTTTCTGCTGTATGTTTGTCGATGATTGTCAGTCATATGAATGCATCATTAGAAAGCGACATTCCTTTCTATACTCAAAGCAAATATCACGCTAACTACACAATAGAAAACATCAGATAACCTAATTATTATTATAAAATATGGAGAAAAACAACAAAAGTTTTCATCATTGACATTTCTACAAACAACAAATGAGGTCAACACACAGATATCTGCATATCACGCGTTCAGTTAATGTACACTATTATTTACACTAATGTTCAATTAAGAAAAATATTTCTTTTACAGAAACTCTAAGTAGATTAGAAGAACTGAAATAGATTTGCTGATTTTCAGTAATATTCAAACACATAATCGTGATTGAATCGCCAAAGTACAGTCCTCAGTGTGAACGGTTTCACGAGTGCGAGAGTAGCACGTGTTGTGTTCACATCAAACAAATACTGTTCATCTAGGATAATATGTTACTGATGAACAGTCATATCATCTTGAGCCTCCGATGAAATACACTTTTGTTGTCAATCACACTATGGTCTTGAGTAATTAATGGATGTAAAAGGTGGCTGTCCACTTGATCAAAATGGAGAAGACAGATTTCAAACAAGTGAAACAACGAACAATTGATGATACTTATTATAAAGCTGAAATAACGCATCAATATTTATCTGATTATCTTGAATTAGCCATGTCAATTGACATGAGTTTGGAGAAATTCTATTGGAACAATTATCGGGTTATATCAAGCTGATCTTCATTTGTGCTGTTAGTGCACATCGTCGTAGCAAAATGTCAGTAAGATATGTGATGAGGAATGAAAGTGCAACACATTTCTATTCTGTTCAACGTTGGTGGTGAGATATACGGGACGTGGTCGTTAGACGAATTCCAGTCCAAGGGAACTGAAATAACGCATGAATATCAATGCCAACGTTAGCCGACTCTACTTCATTTCCCATGAGCTCCACTTCAATATGTTTGATTGTATTTGACAATTTTATAGGCCGATGTATTTTATCACAGACTACTACTTCAGCTCCGCTTCTGTTTAGAATTCAACAGAAATTGAGCAAATTAATGTTGTCAATAGTTCGATGTGTTCTAATCTACGCTCACAAAATTCTGTCAAACTGTTATTACTTTCTGTTTGTTCCCGGTTATCTACATGTCATCACAGAATCTTCTTGCATTCTATCACAATGATCTAACAAAACTTTCTCCAGTCGTCATTATTCAAAATAAATTGTTCGGAATGTCAATGATGAGTTGAATACAAGTAAACGTGATAAAATCCGAATTCGTTTCTTAAACACTCAGTACAAACGTAACTGTCTCTCAAATTTGCAACGTCAATTTCATGTGTACACTTCTTGTAGCAAAATCGCAGTATGACATGTGATGAGGAATTAACATGTTGCATTTAAAAGCTCACCTGCATTTAAACTTGTTCACATTTAATTTTATCAACGTGATCTACTATTACATTCATCATGAACATGTTCAACTATTTTTAAGTTATTGATTTCACAAGTTTCTCAATATCCGTTGAGATGTCATCATTGGTAACAGAGTACTGTGAGGGAAAAGAAATCAGCTTCCGTCTAAGAATCGGAAATATATCACAAAAATCCCTAATCTGAATCTTTAAACAAGCACTGACTTGTAATGCTGAAGGGCAACAGAAAAGTGGAAGGCCAAATAACACACACTGTGTCGTGAATTGGAAACAGACATCATAAAGATGAATAGCAACTGGAAGCAACTAGAATGGTTTGTCCGGGCCAGAACCAAATGGAGGATGTATGTGAGCGACCTATGCTACGACGAGGTGTAACAGTTGTATATAAATCAGTGAATGAGTAATACATATAAACTTAGAAATCAATTATTTAATCTTTTTCAGCTTGTTCACCTGGTCGATTAAAGTATTTCGCGATAAAATTACGCAAACGTTCAGTCAGAGTTCAATTTACATAGCTCACTATGGTAGAATTTAGCAGTTGATAATACAAAGACTATTTGTTAAAGGTACATGGCATTCAGTAGACAATCATGAATCCGCGACAATCGTCTCTGCTGTCAGCATCAATCTACATTGAGAGATAAAGACAATGATTTGTAATTGTCATGATGAATATCAGCTTTATACATTGCTTTTTTGGTGGAGTTTTGTTCTCTGAGCTGGATGGTTTGGTCGTGGAGCTTTCATCGTTCTTCTGAACGACATCATCCCATCCGAAAGTAGCGGATGTTTCATGCATCAGGAGAGTGGGCATCAGATGCCCTGTCCGACCATGTGCAGGGGACTGCCAACAATCTCTCCGCTTTTGATGCACGGTTTGTAGTCGACAACACTAACACACCTCACAACAACACGCTTCACACTCACATCTGCAACAGCTTTGCACATTTTAACGCAATCTTCTTCATACATCAACAAACACATCACACACTCTTCTACTCATAATCTAAACTACGCTCCACACTCCACAATCTCATCACTCAACAACACTACTGCATAAACTCAACAATTCACCATTACCTCATCAGTAGTATATTCAGTTTACACAACGAATTCCCGGCCTTGCACTCCAATAAACAACAAACTACTGTCGAGCATTTCAGTAGCACAGTGAAGTCAACTAAATATCGTCGGTTTATTTTGTATCGTATTGCATTGCATTTCATCTGATGGTCTCATAATTCACTCACACACGTGATAGTCACAACTTGACAACTCGACGTCAGCAGCACATCTAAACACTTTTCACTAGTTACATTACAGAGCAACAACACCAGATATTTGTGCAGGCGAATATAAACCACAATCAGTCAACTCGGTTGACCGCGAATTTCATAAGTACGACAACATGTATGGAAATGGTTTAATTTGTTGATGTTTAGAAATTCTGTGATTTTCAATTGACATTGATCAATCTGTGGTTGACCTGACTTGATTTATGCCTACTACTATGTGTATAGTGGATGCAGTACCAACAAGTTATATTCCACTGATCCTGTATATCTGTTTGTGTGTGAATTCGGTTTTCTTCTTGCTGTGGTAATTAGTTATGTCAACTTTGACCGATGCACATATGTGCCTGGTACTGCGTTGTAACTAAAGAACTGACTAACTATACAATGATCATTTTCATTTTAGGTCAAGACAATGAATGATAAAAGCGATGTTACTTAGTTAAAATGCGATAATAATAATCGTAATCATAAATTTCATACAACACAAATGTACAAATTTATATATCTATATATAAGTAGTTTATAAGTAGTATAAATTCATAGGGATGATAATACTGTTTATATTGTTTTCTCTCTTTATTCTTATCTTTCTTTCTTTCTTTTTCATTTATTTTAATAAAGGAATAAAACATAATTAATGAACAAGTGAGTTGTTATTTTTAGGTAATTTTAAAAAATATTTTGTTACTACTGATAAAGAATCTGTAAGTAATACTGGTGATTCATGATGAGATTGTGTTGAACTATTATTCATTGTCATCCATGTTGAAGTTGATGATGATGATGATGATGATGATGATGATGATGATGATGATGATGATGATGATGATGATGATGATGATGATGATGATGATGATGATGATGATGATGATGATGATGATGATGATGATGATGATGATGATGATGATGATGATGATGATGATGATGATGATGATGATGATGATGATGATGATGATGATGATGATGATGATGATGATGATGATGATGATGATGATGATGATGATGATGATGATGATGATGATGATGATGATGATGATGATGATGATGATGATGATGATGATGATGATGATGATGATGATGATGATGATGATGATGATGATGATGATGATGATGATGATGATGATGATGATGATGATGATGATGATGATGATGATGATGATGATGATGATGATGATGATGATGATGATGATGATGATGATGATGATGATGATGATGATGATGATGATGATGATGATGATGATGATGATGATGATGATGATGATGATGATGATGATGATGATGATGATGATGATGATGATGATGATGATGATGATGATGATGGATAGGAAGGTAAAGAATGATTGACTAAACTAAAAATGAATTTATAACAACCAAATTGTATAATTGAGCCATGTTTCAAAATAGCCGACCCTTCCCAACCAGTGATTAAATTGAATGAATATGTTTTATCATTTTGAGTAAAATGTAAACTTGTACAATCACATATAGATGTCATATGTGATAAATCCTGATAAAGTATATGAAAGAAACAGAAAAAAGAGAATAGGTATAAATAAGGATAATAACAATGACTGAGAATGAGAAGAGTCAGTTCTCCTTCTTGAAATGAGCTGACAGGGAAATCCTACTTTTACTACATTGTTGTTAAGGGGGTTGTTGTTTATGAAAATAGGAGAAGGATGAAAGGCGAGTGTTGGATGCTTTAAATGGGTTGGTGAATATGAATAATCCACCTAGGACAGTTGAAGAAACCTCCTTTTCAAACTGATGGTGTACATGGGCTCTACTATCCTGAGGGAACAAAAGGTGTATGAACTGATTGTTGGTGACTAGCTACCACGGAACTGCATCTCCTGACGTTGCTCCACTACCTTGTGAACTAGACCTGTATGCCAAAGGCTCGAGGTGTGGCCTCCTAAGAAATGCACCTACGTCGGTTTGGTCACCTGTGCAGCAATCTCAGCCCTCACATAAATTGAATGATTTATGTGGAGCACATCTGTTTAGTAACTACGTGTACCATTGTTTATGTGTTTAAATAAAGTAAAGAATAATAATAAACGAGTGAGTTTGCCTTGTAACTAACTGAGACCTCAGTAGTGAACGAGTTCCAATGATGATATTTTCTGTTGAATAATATCCATTTAAATGCATAGAGAAGTATGCAAGTTTTTCAAAGTGTAAATATGATTTGCTGCTGAATGTTAAATTTAGGGTTCAAGGATTTCTTGTGAATTTACTGGAAAACATTTAATTAGACTTTTTCAGTTTGCATTAAGGAATATAAATATAATTTAAACACATAAACATATGTAGGAGGCACCAAATAGGTATGCACCACATTTCACTATTCGATTTGTGTGAGAGATAATAGCCGGATGCTACAACGGAAGCAAGTGGTTTTCGTAGAGGGATACACACGGAGCCTTTGTCCAGTGGTCTAATCCACAAGACAGTAGAGCAATGTTAAGAGATATAGTCATATGCTAACCGGTAACCAACAATAAATTCATACGCCATTTGTTCCCTTGTGATCCTGGAGCCTATGTACACCATTGGTTTGGAATTACGCTTTTTCAACTCCCCTACGTGGACGCTTGATATCCACCGACTAGCTAAAGCGCCGAACATTCGCTTCTCATCCTCGTAATCTAACAAGAAACACCCTCACCACGAAAAGGCAGTTAGTAGGACTTCCCTGGCAGTGATTATTATTAATTATTGATTTATGAAGTAGAGTTTACTTTGGTAAACATTGTTCATTATTTAAAACGGAGGGGGGATTGTGAAGGTTTTAGTCCGTTGTGAGATATCAATTCACTGAAGACAATGGTGTACGGTGCCTCAACTTTGTGGATTGGACATTGACACCATTGGATGCCGGCTAGCTCAGTGGTCTAGTTGGTTAAGCGCCTGACGCCAGACCGATAGGTCCTGGGTTCGAATCTCGCGGGGTGCTAGATCATGGATGAGCACTGATGCGGAGTCGCACAATAGGCCGAAACGACCGTCCAGTCCTTCCAGGGTTTCCATGGTGGTCAAGATTTAAATGACTCATTATGTCAACCAGTGAAATTTCTAAAATCATCACAAAACCGCTTGTGATAAGATTTTAGCAGTTATATTAGTTGAATTCATTAGTCAATTGAAGTTAGACCATCATGGAAAACTTGGAAGTACTGGATGTTGCGTGAGACTGTTAGTCGTGGGTTCGAATCCTGAGAGCGGGATCGTGGATGCGTACTGTTGAAGAATTCCATATCAGAATGAAATAACTATTTAGTGCTTTCAGTTTTTCTATGATGGTCTAGCTTCATGCAATTTATGAATTCAACTGATAAATTACTACAATCTCGATAGTTAGTTAGCTAAATGATATACCCTTGTGGGCCAGGATAAATTTACATTGGTTTTCAGGAGAACCAGACACTTTCCGGACTTTCACGTGACAACCTGAACAGTACAACTGAATCCTGTCTAAAAAGGGAGCCGGAGAATGCCCAAGCTTAAATTTTATAATCCGAGCAGTACAGCTCAATCTCGATTCACAGAAGAAGCAGACATCGTAACCAGTGGATTTCAACCAGTTGTCAACTTGATGAGTTACATTACTATAAGTCTATGCAAAATTACTTTTGCATGTTTTATTTCGATTCTAAACTAGATGAAAAGGTGAATATGGAATTAACTGTTGATCAGAATAACAATCCTTATGATACTTACAAGTTCAGGATAGAGAGTTACTTATTGATGACCTCCGACAATCACTATGTGAAATGATTAACTATGGAACAATCTCAACCTTTTAAACTCTCTTCTCATTTACCTGTGTTTCTGAACAGTGCTAGACTTTGACGATACAATGTCTTGAATAGAACTTTTATTCAAGGACATTGAAAGAAAAATATCGTCCACAACAGCAATAACATCTAATAACTCTATAGATGGGATACAATTTCATTATGACTTATTAAGATAATAACATAGGGGATATTTGTTTGTTTGCTTGACTTTGATGGATTACTGCTCCTTAAAGTTTATCCTAATTGAAACTATTTGTCTGGTTGATTGTTTTTTCTATTATACAACAAATATGATCTTATTGTTTTCATTCATTCATTCATTCACTCATTCATTCTGTATTATCGTTGATCATCAGCATAGGATTAATATCATTTATCCCATATAATACAACAAATTGCATATTCATCAATATACTTGTATATAAACATATTAAAAACTAAAAGTTTCGGATTAAATTAACTATCCTCATCTGAATATGATCCACTGTCTTTTCTCAGCCCCACCCCTCACTCACTCTCACACACACACACTTCTTGTGTACATCGTGTTTGTTCTATGAATTGTATCTATGTATACATCAGAATGAATGAATGATTGATTTTTGTTGTTGTTGATGATGCTTCTCTTTGATTTGTTTCTTCTCTTACGTAATCACTACTGAACTGATGTAAATTATGATTATGACTATATTAAGGATTCAACTTGGAAATAGATCAAATAAAATGGTTTTTGTATTTCTGTATATCCTTCATAGAGAAATGTTAAAGGAAATTTTGATTGTTCAACTACCAGTCATCATACATTCAAGCTTATAACACTTGTGACTTGAGACAATATCTAGGTAATCCATGCAGGATTCACATATGCCAATAAGAGACGGATCAATTGCACTCTTAAACATTAATGGGAAGATTCAAGGAAACAACAACCATGTCAAATGAGTTTATTTTATATAAATGGTAAACTACTTTTAGTAGTATAGATTTGTTTTAAAAATATTAACAGAGAGATATGTTAGTAGTGAGATATTGTGGTATGTGCTACTTATATTGACATAAGTAGTAGATGATGTTAGTCGTAAACAGAAGGTCTGGAAGCAGAGAGACAAGAGGATCGAACAGTAAAGAATGGAAACACAATGCAATTTGTATGAAAACGCAAGAACAATGAAGTCTGAGTCATTTTTAGACAAGTGAATGATAATTTGCAAATTATGTATTTACTATTTGATTGTTCGATTTTAATAACCACTCATGTAATTTTGTGTCAAATACATTCGATTGTATTCACTAGTGTTCTTGTTCATTACAATATAACTACCATTTGAGTTATAATGAATAAATGATACAGATATTCGCCATATTGATCAGATTCTCCTATTTTGTGGTTGGTTGATAAACATTCATAGTCTTCCTGGATCAAATCTCATGGTAATGGACTATGAGAACTACTTATTTCTTATGCAGAACAATTAATTTTTAAGAATATATCGTTCACACTACAGTAGTTGAGACCGTGAGTCAATTGAAGCTAGATCATCAATGAAAACCTGTAAACACTGGACGGCCGTTTCGTCCTATTGCTGGACACTTCAGCAGACCGTATACACGAACATGCTTTGCGAAGTCCCAACACAGGACCAATCGTTTTCGTACGCAAATGCTTAACCTCTAAACGACTAAGCCTGCATCCAACGGTGTCGAACTTCAACCATTTCACGAAATTAGGCCACCGTACACCACTGTCTTCAGTGAGTTACTATATCACAACAGACCTGGTTGAACTTCACTGGTCACTGCTTCACTAGAACTATAGGAAATACCTCTTGGAGCCAGTCACAAGTGAGCATATGTTGACTAATATCAGAAGGAGATATTGTGGATATTATAATAGTTGAGATCATGAGTCACTTGAAGCTAGACCATCTTGGAGAATCTAGAAGAACCGGACGGCTTATATGTTTGGTAGAAAGAGGGACTAGAATTTTTATATTCAAAACTTTACAGTGGAAATGTGAAGAGTTTAAGCACAGGCTCTTTGTCAAACTTTATAACTTGGTGTGTGATCAATTAACAAGGATATTTGTATCACCAATAAACATATTTATACACTGCGTGCACTATATATTAAGATTAGATGGTCGTTGGAGGTAGTCGACACGAAACTCTGGACCCGGGTTTCGTGCTACTTGGCACACTTTAGCAAGGTGTACCTGTAGTCTTGATAGAACTGGTGCTCCCTGGCTGATTCGATCTCATGTCACCCAGCTTCACAATCACAGACACTATCAGTGAGCTATCAGGGCCGCGACCGACCTCCCGTAGAACTTAGATGTAATCACAATTTATTGATCACTGGGTAGTGATCAATGTCATGTGTGTCAAGTCCTTATTTCAGGATATCTTAGTAACATCTGTAAATCATACAGTAAATAATTCACTTGTAAAATTTTGGACAATTGGCTCAGACTTCATTATTCCTTCACTTCCATGCTAATAATTCCCTTTTCTTCGATCTTACTCACCTTCTATCACTAGGCATTCCACTTTCGATTATTGATGCATACTACTACTTATATCTGTCGACATCACTAGCAGATATCACATTTTTACGAATACTCACCTATCAGACAACTCATTACTTAGTATATGAGTGTTCATTAGTTATTTTGGAAATCTATTTCAATGTCAA